CAGTGCCTTTTCTCATTGGTTCGGGAGATCTACCGGGGTGTCATCTCGGTCGGTACGACGGACGGAAATCAAACGAATGGGGATAAGTTCAGAATGTGATGTCCAGCATATCCTGAACCATTAGGTTTGATGATTCGGTACGCACACGCAAGGAAGTCACCGGTGACAGTTTAGATTTTTTTTAAAAATCTATCCCAAATAATTAGCCCTATCCATCCACACGGAAGCAAAATCAGATTTTGTTGTTTGCGTCCCAAACAGGGACAATCAAACGTCTCTGTGCTTAAAACACACAAAAAAATTGTTTGCCTGATTGAATGGATGGATAAAAAAGACAGAACCAAATAAAGGATCTGCAAGACGTCTTGTTAGCAATAGTAACTCTGTTGGTAAAATCCCCGTCGTTCTACCAAGGACAGGAGCGGTATTGCAAAGACATGAGATAGAATGAGAAAGCAAACGAACGTGAGATCGTGTGACAAAAGCGAGTTAAGAAGCCGATCAAACCTTGTCAAGGATCGGACATGTGTTTTTGGTCACGAAGACTATATGCGCTGATAGTTTCACTGGAAGTATTAGGAAAAATGAAATTCTGATCCCAAAAGAACGCGGTTTACACTAGTTCTTTTTTACATAAAGCATCAATTTTCAACATTTCGCGACAAAATGTCCTCATCGTATCAGCAACCCGACTTGTCGCAGTTAGCAAAAACGTTCAGACTTTGAGGCTTCCGTGCATGGTCACAATGGCCGACCCCAAGATGTATAGAACAGATCACTTTACTGTCAAAAAAACCTATGGGTTGATTGAAATAAACAGTCGCACTGACAAGTCCGTCTTCCTTCCGATTCTGTTGGGTCTCGAGGATCGTATTTTGTTGGGCGTTTCGTTGACTTGCTTCTATGGGTAGTTTTGTTGTAGTGTCAAACGTATGGGGATGAGATCAGTGATCAGTATGCGGTTAATTTGGATCGCGCCGACGGGGAATGGAAATAACGTGGGTGATCAGGGGAATGAGAGATTGTGAAATACAGGAGGCGAGGATTGGTAGCACGGTTGGTCAGAGTGACCATCATCTGGTTTTGTGTACACAGAATCGGATTCATTCTACATACCCCCGTCCTCGTTGAACTTTGCCCGGCGTGGTTCTCTGAGACAACCGGGAACCTGAAAGGTATCAATTTGGTTCACCTTACAGTCAGATGTTGTGATGTGTGTTTTGTAAGGAAATTGTGCTAGTTCTTTCCGTAAGTAAATACATAAACACATACGCACCTGATTCTCGATTCCTCATCAGTCAACCAGAACTAGCCTGTGCATTCACACCTATCGTGGACTAAGTGAAACGTGTTTCCATTCTCAACTAAACTCGGAACACAAATCTCGTTCTCGGTTTTCATCCTCACCTAAAATCCCTCGCAATCGCGTATTTTGTTTTTTATTGTTTATTACAAACTTAAGTGTGATGAACAGCAGTAGGGGAAAGCCCCATAGTCACGAAGACCTGTTGTTCATTGATAGGAACCGGCAACCTAAGCGCCGGGACATGGAGTGGCGAGCCCCTAAGGTCCCACATGGTTAAGCGTGCTATTGAACCGGACGACAGCAAAGCTGCTTATCACCAGAGTTGGTTGGCGGGGCTCGCACCGCGGACCATAAGGTCCAAAGCACGCCGGCGACAGTGACTAAACCACTGCACCACTACCACCGAAAGCCTCAAGAACATGATTATGTGAGAACGCACTGTCACTGCGGCAGATACTGTGCATAATGTTTCTGGTCTTTTGTCAAATTTATTCCAAAAAGCCGCAAAGTAGTATCTCACCACGGCAAAATTATTCTTGCACACAAATCTCTCAACGAAAATCGATCAATTTGTGCAGGCCGAAAATTTAGTAGATTTTTGAAGGCGAACAAAAACAATCACGTGGTCACAAATGGCTCACCTTGAGACAATGAGTCAGCGGGTGTGGCGGACAATATCAAAGCATTGGAGTGAGTGGTCAATACAACAGTGTTGTGACCATTTGTCTCGGATTGGACCAGTGAAGAACAATAGTTAACACCACCAACAGAACCACCACCAGGTGGAGCCGGGTGTGAAGAACTACCACGATTCGTACAATTATCTCGCCGATGCACAGAGTCGTTCTCACCAGAGGACGGACCTCCAGGACCGGTTGAACCGGGCTGATGTCCGTCAGAAGTAGACAAAACAGGAGACGCATGATCCACATAACCCGAATCAATCAAGACCGGAAGAAGAGCCAGTGGGCTAGTGATGGGGGAAAATGTGCCCAAGGGACCACCACCTGAACCAAGGTACGGTGATGGCTTTTGGATGTCATTCGTAGGGCACAACGTACCGGACGGAACGAGAATTGAAGCCAGTCGGCTCATATCTGAAATAATCGAATAGTGTACGAGGTTGTACAAAACAATCGTGAAAGCCATCAAGCAGTAGTTCAGAGTACGAGCGATAAAAAAACTCTAATATTGTTATTATCCTTCAAAACGCCACAATATGATTGGGTGAATATCACTATTTCTTTCGCGTTGGAAGCGGAATTAGCACATTGCGGCAAATATTGTTAGCAGAAACAGTCAGATTTGTTTTTTTTATAAAGGACTTTGTCGTATACGGATCAATGATGTGAACCGAAAGGTACCGCACAGTGTCTACAACTTCATCGACCCTAGTGAGAATCCAAGACAGGGAAAGTGTAGTAGAGATTGTAGTTCATACGCGTCCCAGTGCAGACTGTGTGCCAAACAAATTGCAGCACAGTGCTTAGTACAGAGCAAGGGTTCATGATTCGCTAGAAGGTCGGAATATTATTTGCTTATCCAAGCCAAAACAGGTAGATTTTCCCCGAGGATTCACAATCCGATCGTTCGATTAACTAAAGCTTGGCCTACAAGTCAACTAGGATGAACTACAGTATATATATTTGCAATCGGTTAGGAGTCTTTGACGATTTTTTAAGAACCAGTGGCCCCAGTCAAACAATACCAATGGACTCGAAGCGATTGTTATTGGTTTTCACATGATCGCCACACTCCTCAACCATAGGAAAGAGCTTTGTTATGGATTGTTGTACGAGTTTTAACGCTTCATACGGAACTGGAATCAGATATTGTTTCCGTATCCTTCCAAACACGCATCAGTTTAACATTCAACAAGGGGAGGGGATCGAATAAAACACTTACTAGGTCCTGTGGATTGTGGATTGCCTGACGCAGACTGAGGTGAACAGGCCGTGGACGGTCGCATGTGCGGATCGTATGTCATGGAAGTGCCACAGCTAGCTACTGGGACCGAATTGAGACGTATTGTGCTCGGCATTCCGGGACCTTTTGAACCGAGACCATCAATGGTGCCCGCCGATCGACCGGCGCTTGAACGATGGTGATAGCCAACA